CACCAAAGTTTACACGTTTTATATCTGAACGTTTTCCATCAATAATAACTCTTGTTGTACGGTCGCTGAGATAGGAACGAAACCAATTCAAACACTGCCCAGAGACACCCAATCGACTTTCGAGCAGACGCAACAAAATACTATGATATATCAATGGTATCAAATGCAGCACTCACATCAAGGCTAACCAACAGTACAGTTTTATTGTCATCCAACTCAGATAAAATATCATTGTGTAGCCGAACCCAGGCAGTTTCAGTAGAATGGTGTTTCTTATAAGCCGACTGTAAGCTTTCATCTAAATTATGTTCCTGAATATGATTTGTTAATTGGGTATCCACCACTTTCTCAATTAATTTTGAGACATAAGAAAGATTAGATATTGGTCTGAAACTGTTTTCTTCATCTGTGCTGAGGGAAATATTCTTCAGTATTGGTGTCAAAAAGGATTGTTTGAACAGGGTAGGCATGAATGCATCATGCAACGACAGGTTGACAATTTTTGTTATAATCTGGAGTAAGGCAGGAATACATTGCTTCAAAAGCCAAGTTGTAATTGGATCAAGTTCACATGATTTGTTGTTAGTTAACCGAATAATGTTTTCAATCTGATGCTCAGAAACTGAACTAAAATATTCCAACTTTTCAACGGTCTCACAGGAAGATTCAAATCCTAGCAGATTATCTACAGTAGCCAAATGTAGTTGAGAACGAATTGTATCAATTTTCCGGACAAAAAAATCCGCAAACATATTTGTAAGATCATCAAGATTATCATGCGGTGGAAATTGACGTTGATTCTCACCGTGTAAGAGTTTATCTAACACTTGGAATAGTACTTTCTGATCACCATAGTATCAGTGTAATCTAAAGCTTACCAAATATGGTTAATCTAAAGCTTACCAAATATATTCATTGTTGTAAACTTGTCACAGCTTACAGTTATATAACCACCATTGAAAGGGTTTTAGAAATTCAATATTGGGACAATCAACTAGTCATCTCCTGCATAAATATTGAAATTATGTTGTATTGTAAGAGAAAACTCCCAGTGAGAATATATAACTATTCTCACTTGGAGTTTTCTCTCCCAATGCAATATAATTTGAATATTTATGAATGAGATGATTAGTTGGTCATCCATATACACCACGTGATTGTCAGACAGTATAAAAGTAGCAGAAAGTCGGTATTTTTGAGCATTTACCACCGAAAAGGAAGGACGACTCTGAAATGTTTTGGAACCCACGTTCCCTGTTTAAGAAATAGAAAACCTACGAATCTTCTCATTTCATGGGAATATCCTGAGATTGCAATCACGGCTTCAATTTTGGAATTGCAGAATAATTAGATGCACTATCTAGTGTATATAAGATATCTATGGTTGTAGCCATAAATAACATTTCAACGCATATATGTATCTATATCTGTCTATTTTTGTATGTTTTTACGACTGTAACTGACGCTGACGTTAAGGAATTCGGGCCCGCTCGCGTGGACAATTAGTTTGACGCTCAGTTAAGGGTTTAAATTAATACAAGTTGCCTTAACTAAGATCCATTATACTGAAGGCCGGCTAGGCTTGCTGTAGGTATTGCAATTTTCTCGTTCGCCCAAAACTCTGCTTCTGGAGCATTTGCGGTTTTCAGAAAATTGTTTATGACCGCATCAGTGTATACGATAGAGGTTCGCAACGAATTGCAACGTACAATGCGCGTAGTTTTTTACAAATTTGTATTTAAAAAGTCGAAATTTCCTAACACGCCATGCCACGACATATAAGCCGAAAACGAAAATTCGATATAAACCGCCTTTCGCGCATACTGATTTAACACTTCCAAGATTTAGGGGAGATACAGTGAAACCATGCTATGCAATAACCTGCCTATTGATGTTAATTAAAATTGGCACGCAGAATCTATTCACTCCTTTGAATGAGCACAGCCAGGTTTCTAGCATAATTAATAAACAGATCTATATTTGATGTTTATCTTTTGTCTTAACATTGTGTTTCGTAATTTACTTTTATTTATCATTATCTTTATTTATTTTGGCCCTACATAGTTAGTTAGGAAATAATATTATTTATTATATACGCAAGGTCTGGATATGAGGTATTCTGCAATCTGATTGGTTCTCTGCTAGCAGGATATTAGCTCATATCCTGCTATGAGAAAAAAGCAAAATGGCAGCTCAAACTGAATTTCCGACGTTTTGCGAAAGAGAAAACGGCAAGTTGTTCGCTTCATATTCGACTCGCGAATTGCTATAGTCTCAACTTATTCGTTATAGTTCACCTGCAATTTATCCCGTCCCAGAACACGTCCTTTGGATCCCCAGTAGAAACTCTGAGTTTGGCTTATTAAAATGAAAATGGGGAAAAAATTATCATCAGCAGTTTCAACATCAATATTGATATGTTCTCGACATTTATAATTTAAATAGAATTTTTTCCATAGTTATACATGTGTGGTGTCTCACAAATTCCCTTTTGTCTCATTACCAGTTCTATTGACACCATTTTAGTGCTGTCTGTTTGATTCTACCAAAAAACAGACTTTTTCTTGGCTCTGCGCCCTCTCCTCGTCAAGAGCGCACTCGAACAGTTCACCGGTCCTCGCACGTGATTGATTCACTGAAGTCACTCATTCATAAAGACAGGTCAGTCGTATTTCAAGCAGCAGCAGAAAGAAAATCTATCAACTGAGGTATTTCTTATTTTGTATGTGACTATTATTTATGGCTGTTATATTGTAAATTGAACAACTCTACCATTTAATTTAGTTCGAGCCGAGTCAGGTAGACCCGAAAGCCGGCAAAGTGCGTACCTGCAGTACCTATGTAATTGTCTGCTTTCAATATTAAGTGTATGGGTATTATTTGTTTCATATTAACAAGGATTAGTGTCTAACTATTGACTGACACCTTTTTTATATCATTCCAAGTAAAAGTGACCAAATATACGAGCTAGCCGATTAAACTCATTCTCTACTTTCACGTTTTCAATCGGGCTTCCGGCCCAAACATTCGACACTGTCCTTATTAATAGAAATGAGTGACAATTGGTTTGAAAATATGGATAATGGAGAAATAACCGGATTAATTTCAGTTGATATTAGGAAAGCCTTTGACTCTATTGATCATAAAATCCTATTAAGGAAGATGCAAGACCAGTTTGGTGTTCAAGATTTTGAGCTAAAATGGTTCCAATCCTATTTGACGAAACGAAGCCAAGTTTGTGTTGTCAATGGCCACACATCGTTGGCTAAGGAAATTGTATGCGGAGTTCCACAGGGATCTATCTTGGGACCCCTCATGTTTTTACTATATATAAATGATTTGCCTGAATGTCTGAAAAACACAACTCCTGGCATGTATGCTGACAATACTCAAATATATGCATCTTCCGCAAGTTTCTCCGACTAGTAACCAAACTTAATCAGGATTTAGAAAATATAGTCAAATGGCTCTCTCGAAATAAATTGCAAGACAAAAGCAATGTTTATAGGATCACCCTATAACTTAAAAAACAAAGTTGGTAATGAACAGGTTATGATAAATGATAAACCGGTTACTCGATATTCCTCTTTTCCATGTCTGGGAGTAGAACTCGATGAAAGAATGAGCTGGGAAAACCATATAGACACAATATGTAGGAAAGTTGGCTCCGGTATTGGAATCATCAAAAGAGTAATGCCGTTTGTACCGTCCGAAACACTACAAAATTTATATAATTCTCTCGTTCTCCCATATTTTGACTATTGTTCATCTTTATGGGATAATTGTGGAAGCATGCTCAGAGAGAAATAACAAAAACTACAAAATAGGGCGGCAAGAATTATGTCAGGTGCCAATTATGATGTCAGGTCGACAGATTTGCTCCATGCTATGTCATGGAAAAATCTGAACGACAGACATAAAATGAATAAATCGGTCTTGATGTTTAAAATATTAAACAACCACTCAGCTCCGAACTTAAAGGATAAATTTGTAACAAGGGACATAAATCTTAGTACTCATTATAATCTCAGAAATGCTGATATAAATCTTTCAGTTCCTAAACCACGTACTGAATATTTAAAAAAGAGTTTTGGATATAGCGGGGCTGTTCTATGGAATAGTTTACCTACGCAGGCAAAGCAAACAGAATCTTTAAGTAGCTTCAAAAATTTGATAAAATAATGTGTGCTACAGAGTCAGGCATCGAATAGTCTTTAGAATTTACTTTCGAATAGAATTTAACTTTTTTATCTAAGTATTTGTTATTCTATGTTATTCTATTTCATATTTAATTTATATTAGTTTTTAGAATGTAATTTGTGTGACGCCCCTCATGAAAATCATCCATGGGTGATGAGGGAAGCGTGGTTAAATAAAGTTTTACTATACTATACTATACTAATATCGCCGATCGAAATTGAATTTTCCATTTTTGCATAATACGCCTCTTCGTGGTTTGCGACACCATCTTGTCAAGTAAGGCAAACGCAATAAAGCAACAATACCAGGCAATTTGCTGTGGCTTGTTGCAAATTGATTGTGTATACGAGTCATTAGCGACCTATTTTCGCTCGTATATATAAATGATCCAAATGTGACTTGGCAAACAAGCTTGAAACAGAAGTGCAAACATGTGTTAGGGCTTTTCATTATTTTCCATAGTTCTGCACCCAATCCCCAACTGTAGAAAAATGAGATTTCGACCGCCAATTTTTTGTTCGATTTGTATTATTAGACAGCTAAAAGACTAGTGTTATTGCTGTGCAACAATGTTATCGATCAACTGAATATCTAACACAGGTAAACACGCTAAATTTGGATACGTATACCTTTTTTTTCTAAACACCCTGGTGTCGGATATCAGCAGATATAGGGCAAATGAGTCAATGCACAAAATACAACTACCGGGTGTCCCAAAAAAAAGTACTCCTGTTTGATTTGTAATAACTTCTAAACAAGTAAAGCTTTTAAAGAGAAATAACTTGCATCAAATAGAGGAAGGATTAACTTAGATTTTGGTATATTACAGTTGTATTTCACTTAAAATTCACGGAGATATTAATGTTTAAAATCGGGAGCATATTTCTCGATGTGTCTGAAACATGCAAAAAACGGCGTATCAAATATTAATCAAGATTTGCCCGACTGAAACATGCACTATTACCAGTAAATAAATGACACTTGCAAATTGTTTATTATGAAACAAAGTATTATTATATGTATACAAAATACAAGCAAGATTAATTCGTCCGAAATTCGCTTGTGTTCCTAGCACGAATACGTTTCCTTATTTCATGAGTCAGACCAATGCATCGCAAAGGATCGTCATCGATCGTTCGTAGTTCTGAATTAGGGCATGCTGTCACAAAGGTCTTCCGATCTCTTCTAACTTCTGCAACGTTCTGAAATCTTGTTAGGAACACCCAAACTCTTTTACCTTTTCTTAATCTTGGCAAGTTCAGAGTAAACTGAGAATTATATGAAACACAATCAAACCATACAACTTTATAAGACATAACAATTAAGCAACTCCCCAGAGACATGCAACATTTTTGGAATAAAACGTAACAAAATAGTAGCATTAATACGCGGTGATGCGTATTTGCAAACAGCAATATTACTTCTTTCAATAAAGAATAATATTCATCCTGCTCTAACAGAGAAATAATCAACTCAGTCTGTTTGAACCCATTAAAAACATTAAAAAAATTATGCTATTTAAGAAACATTTAAGCGCCTGCCGTCCATCGTCTTTCATGTACCTTTAAGTTTGTAAAGACCTATTAAATACTTGCATAATTTCGAAGTTCATATTTCAGGAAACAATGAGCTAAGACTTACATGTAAGATGTCTAAATCTACGCCATATCCCTTACAAACCCTAACGACAATTCGCTGAAATACAAGTTAGCCGGATATGTCATTAAGCAAACAAACGCTGGAATTAATATTTGATATGCCGATTTTCGCTAATTTTAGACACATCCCAAAATATGCTCCCGATTTTGAACATTGATATCTCCGTGACTTTTTAAGTAAAATACAACTGGAATATATCAAAATCTAAGTTAGTCCTTCCTCTATTAAATGCAAGTTACTTCTCTTTAAAAGCTCTACTTGTTTAGAAGTTATTACGAATCAAACAGGAGTACTTTTTTTTGGGACACCCGGTATTGTATTCATTAAATTTAAAATCTATTGCAAGAAACGGTTTATAAATTTCAAATTAGCTTTCCCAAATTTCAAGCGTCTATCACATATAATTATTTGAGTTGCAATTATTCGGGCTAGTTTATTTTTAAATTTTTACGAAAAAGAGAAACTTAGACTGCGTCGACATGCAAATTTCGAAACCGTGGACAGTCATACTCCCACAAGATTTAGATGGTGGGATCCTTTATCACTTACTCAGTATTGCAATGTTTGCGATAAAACTTGAAACAATATTCTGTTCTGACAAATATTTTGTGATGAAATTCAGCGGATAGCATTTAGAGGAGCTGCCTCCATAAAATCGAAATTTTTGAGAGGGAACCAACCATTGTTGTTTCGTAAATTGCCACTTCGTGTCCAAAAATATCATGAGCCATGACACTCAATAGAAACTGGCCGTTTAACTGTCTTATGTTAATGAATTGAATTGTATGCAACGTTTGTAATCGTTCAAGCATTACTTAATGAGTCATTTATGGCTTCGGTGGTGCAGTCGTCAGGGCAAGCGCCTTTCACGTCTGAGTTCGTTCGTTCGATTCTCGCTCTGTCGTGGGTTTTCCCCAGCCGCTCCGGTTCCCTCTCACAAGAAAGTTGACAGGGTAGATAGCTGTAAGAATAAATAGTCCATTGTCGTAATGGTCGTAAAAATAGAGTCACGATCTTTCTCAACGGCCAGTTCATTATAGTTTATACCTGTAAACCACATATAAATCATAAGTTTTGTCCAATTCTAATCACTCCGCGTATTTTCAGTTCTAAATTATTTCAGTTCTAAATGAGTATTTCTGCTGATGAGAAAGATCGTGATTCAATCTTTACGACCGTTACGACCATATGGAAACATATACTTGATAGAATAGATGGTTTGGAAACTCATTAGAATAACAATGATAACTCATTATCTATGTTAGTCAACGTTTATTTATAAACATGGTCGTTCACCGTCACGTGCGTATTGTATTCTTGCTAAATCCACCAATAACAATTTTCAATTTATCCTATTGTTCGAGTCACGGATAGGCAACTTTCCTAAGACATTGCTATTGGTTAGTTGGGCAAAAATACAATACGCACATGACGGTGAACGACCAGATTTATAAATAAACGTTGACTAACATAGATAATGAGTTATATTGTTATTCTAATGAGTTTCCAAACCATCTATTTTATTAACTATGATGGAAACCAGGCTTAAGTAAACGTAATACTTGCTTGATATAATTAGTCACTGAAAACCCCCAATAGGAAGTGAGCTGAGTAATAATGCAATGTAATCTAATTCCCAACATAGTACAACATTTTTTTTCAAGAAAGCGTAGGTTTTAGTTGATTGGATTTCTTCGATTAACCTGCGCGTTTGCTGCATCTCTGGTGTATCTTCGGTAAGTACCGTTGCATGTTCACAGGAATGATGAAACGAGCTGCTTCGATCGCAAGCTTCTTTAATTCAGAGTTGGACTAATTGTCAGACTTTATGCTCCTGATCATCATTACCCATGCTCTAAAATTATTGGTGTTGCCACAACGTTACTTTGCAAGTCATTGCAGTTCTGCGTGATTTAGATTTATTGTAAATGTTAATACCATTTTGTGTAAGTGAACACCAAATACGCTGATCCGTCGTGATATTTACTGCCTATACAAAAATCAGCTGAGATATTATGAACTTCGAATGCTAAAGCTCAATTCACGCTACCAATTGTCTTTCTGACGGACATGCACATTAAATATTTGAATTATACTTGTGATCTAACCTTTCAAATGCAGTTACTAATTGCGTTCTAGCCAATGAGCTATTGGGATCGTCCTCTCTCCCCACGTACTTCACACGGAATCAACCATTGAGAATATGATACCATTGAGATATGGAATGTTGATTTATTGATCAATTTTTATTGTAAAAACAAGATATCGTGGTTTACTCCAATATAAATTAAAGTTTTATAGTTTATATCGACTAATTTACTAATTTACATTATTTCAGCCCCGTATATTTGACTATAAACTACCCTGTATCAAAATCTATTATCTCTGGCTGTCTAGTGGTTCCTTAATTTCGGTGTGAAAATTGGTGTTTTTAAACATTCCGTTCGATTTTTGCGCGTGTTAAAATCCTTTTGTTTACGTATTAAAATCTATGCTGGAAGACCGGAAATCCCCGTGTTGACATACTGTTATAGAAACACGGTTCTCGACCATCCAACGTTCCCGTACAATGAATGTTATTTCAGATCCTCGTAGTCAGTGTCTTCTCTCAGTTCCAGTTGCTCTAGATCTTACGCTAGCCAAAACCCTAATCCAAGCAATACCGCGATCAAACGTCCGCACGTATTTACTTCTTGTATTCAAAAGACTGGGAATAGTATTGTCTTCACGAAATTCTAGCAAATAATTGAAGAAAATTACTAGTCTTTAAAATTAAACTCAGTAACTTCGTCTTGACACAAGAAAGAGGCTATGAAATTCCCTATCTTATAGCTTCAGTCGTTTCCCTGTAATAACGTCGTTTCCCGTATTTACTCTATTAATTACTATTATTTTGCCAGAGACTTTTTCTACCATTTCCATAATTCGCGCATGCGCTTTACGTTTGACCTCCGCGTTGAAGCCGGTTTTCCACTAGCGATTTTATCGCGCGAAGCGACCTCAGTTTTCCTTTGTCGGTATCACTTATTACCTCAGCAAGACGTGGCAAAATGGATGCCGACAAAGGGAAAAGGTCGCTTCGCGCGAAAAAATTCGCTAGTGGAAAACCGGCTTAATCCAAACTGCTCACGTGACACCTTTATTCCAGTGGCGAAGCCAGCCATTAACCAGCCTAACTCCCAATACCACAAATAGTTCAAGATACATTGTAGTTCATGACTCTCATATTGTGATGCTACAGGTCGCGTTACCTGTCACATTTGGTTCGGGCTTGCCCGAGCGTCGCCTGATCTTATTCTGTGGCGTCATTGCACTGGAGTTGAAGGCTCTCAAAGGAGTAATAGGTCAACTTGGTAAATAATTAATCATATTAGCCTCTGCGACGCCCGGTGGGGTGACAAATCTAGGGTTACCATCATTGCTATAGTGATAACTTTGGATACTAATTGGTCGCGTTACCTGTCACACTTGGCCCAGGCTTGCCCACGCTAATTGGTCGCGTTACCTGTCACTTTTGGCCTGGGCTTGCCCAGTGACATCATAGACTTTGCATACTTATTACTTCCGAAACCAAATTAGACTTCATACTAATTACTTCCGTCCCTAGGTGCGGGGTATTACTACTTATGATTTAAAATTTGCATTGCATGACTAAATTGGCGGGCTGGATACGGCACAGTTTATTCACATTGTCTTGTGGAAGGGCAACCTTGTACCCAGGGTATTTGCTCTTATGGAGCGATATACCCTGGTATGGCCTGGTCACGTGACCCGCGTATTTTGCGTAAAATGGCGTATTGTTTATTAGGGTCGGGGGAGTGAATATACATTGTCACTCCTAGTAATTATATCACGCTTTTTTAATTACTAGGAGTGACCATGTATACTCACTCCCCCGATCCTAGTAAACAACACGCCATTTTACGCAAAATCCGCGGGTCACGTGACCAGGCCATACCAGGGTATTTCGCTCCCCAAGAGCAAATACCCTGGGTACGAGGTTGGTGGAAGGGTAGGTGTTAGAAATATTTGAAATGGAAAAATAGAGTTTGTAAGAAGGTAATTAAAGATTATATGGAATAAGAGTCATCTGCTTTCCTTCTTTTGATTTTGAAAAGCCCATTGCTTGTTTTCACTATTTTAGACAGCATTATTTTGCAACTGCGACACCCGATGAGACGAAGCTGCTTTCCTTATTGATTACATTGTATACCTTGCAGCAATATTTTTTTATATATGGGCGAAAACTTTGATTAAAACACATGTACATTACAGGTGAAACTTTCTCATGTGCAAGCAAGACAGACCAGACAATATGATCCCAAACTCATTAATAATTAGTAAATTAGCCAACCATATTACTTTATTTTGCTCATATGATGCGAGTGGGTACCTAGTGCAATCCTCAAACTAGATCAAAATCTGATTCTCCTCACTTTAAGTAGTGACTTATTCGTATGAGATGTCATATCAAATCCTACAAATTAGTGAAGTCTAGATTATATCAAATCCTATATCTCGTAACGTTCTCATAGTCGAATTTGATATATTAGGCTACCTCAAATCGACAGTGAAGTAGCGCCGGACAACCTAATGTAAGCAAACGGGTGAAATTTCAACACCTGTTTGTGTTAGGCAAATGTTGCTAGAGCGGAAATAAGGTCCTGGAGACGAGCTTGTATCAGTGAACTCCACAAAAACTGGATCGATAACTCCAGCTTTGTTTTTAATCGAAAATGGTGGAAATTGAAACTCGTTTGTAGGTATAGTCTAGGCTCTTACGCGAAAATTCACTGAAAATTCACTGGACACGATAAGCCAGGCTTATCGTGTCCTTAAAATATAGAGCAAGTGGTTTTTTCCAAATAACAAAATTTTAGAACCACCTCAACATTAACAGCAAAGTTATTTGACAAGTTCAGAAAAAACTCGCGGAGAAACACCAGCAAACGTTTGTTTTTCTAGAGTGTCTATGAGGGATTTGAACTGAACACAGAATACAGCTGTGTCAATCTTCCTTTTTTATTAAGCAGGGTATTTACCACTAAAAATGAGCATTTGTCTGCAAAAATTAAAAAACATCGATCGGAAAACCTTAGTCATTTGGCAGCTCCCGCGAAGTCCACGCGTATTTTATACCTATAGCTACAAGAGATCACTCTTTTGGCCGCCATTTTGGCTTCACCCAATCATAGGACTGTTTAACTGGAGTTATCGATACTGTTTTACTGGAGTTATTTATAGAGTTCGCTGGCTTATATTCTATCGATCAGGTGCAAAATAAAGATATTTCTATATATTTCTTTCTAGAAATGTGGCTTCTTTTACTACTTACTGCGCCTTTCTTAACAATAGCTGCCGATCTATCAGTAGAAGATTGTTTTGATGAAGCTGCCACCAAATATATAACTTGTAAGCCTGTCCACGGTAGACCAGCTGTTTGCGACTGCATATTCAAAGATCCGTGTTACATTAAAATGATTATAAGTAAGGGGAAAATTTCTGGTTCAAACGAATCCCACTATTTTATCAATCAGACATGCCAAGGTCCAACCATTACCGTGCAGCAATATGGGATCGTCGTCATTGATTTTTCCAATGAAATGGACGAAGATACTTCTTTTCACTTTCATGGAATGCACCAGAGGAACGTTCCTTGGATAGATGGAGTAGGAAATGTAACCCAGTATCCCATACCTGGCAAAGGGCGGTTCAGGTAAACTTCAAATACGTGCATGCCAGCAGCAGTCCTTTTTCCATTCTAACAAATAATTATATTTTTTCAAACATTGTTTTTTTATTAATAAAATGACCAAACGATTATACCACAATAAGTATTAGCCATGGTAACAATGCCGATCAATATTGTTTTAAATAGAGGAAAGTAACTATGTAATATTGTTTAGTTAGCATTGGCGAGGGGCTGCGCGTTGTATTATATTAATCTATTTTTATAGCTAATAGTACCTTTTTCCCGGGATTACGTGTGGAACTAAATGAAGTAAAGTGAACTAAATGAAATTAATGTAAAGGAGCACAGAATGAAGGACAGTAGAGTAAAAGAGCAAAATAAAATAAAGCTAAATTAATTACGCAACCTAAATTAAATAAAGTAAGGGAAAGTGGAATGAAAGAGCTTAAATGTAAGCAGAGAAAATAAAGCGATGTTAATTAATTTAGCAAAGCATTGTTAAAATGAAATGAGAAGAAATAGAATAAAAACAAAGTAAGGTAGAAAAGAGTTGATGAAGGTAAAACAAAGTAAAATAAAATAGGTATTAAAACGCGGTGAACTGATTTATTTTAAAGTTGATCGAGTAGAGCAAAATTGGAATGTAATTCAACACAATTTAATGTAATAATTAATTACCAACCTTCAAACGTTGAACTACCGGTTTATAAATCATGTTTTAATCTTCCATATAGATCTATTTTCCGTGCAAACCCTCAGGGCACACATTGGTACCACGCGCATATGCGATACCAAAGATCTAAGGGCTTATTTGGTGTGTTGATTGTACACGAAGCACAGAGCGACATTTGTGAGAAGCTGGGGCCATTTGAAGATCAACCTCAGAGAAAAACACTGCTCATTGTTGATCAAGATGCGAATAAAAAGCAACCTGGTAAGACAGTTCAGTCATTTTGTTTGCCAGATGGATCAAACTTGCCAGTAGAGTTCACAAGGTTTTCGTTATTAATATATGGTAAAGAACCTGCTACAAGCCTGCTAGAATGCACAGGTAATGAAACGCATACACAATTTTACGTGGTTAGTGGAAAAAACTATCGTTTTAGAATCATCGATGGGGCTTTGGGAACTGTTTTCGTGATTTCCATAGATTATCATAAGTTGTATATCATGGCGACGGACGGATATTTAGTAAAACCATTTGAAACTGATTTTCTTATTGTGCACGTTGGTGAAACATACGATTTCATTTTGAAAGCGAAGAAAGACATCCTGCCAGGTTCTAAATACCCAATTAGGATCCAGTCGCTCGCTGTTAATTGCAAGAATAGTAGCGAACTAGCCGGACAAGGTTTTGTCTTCCTGGTGTACACAAATCAATCTAGCCAAATGACATCACCAACCTCAGAAAATTTGATAGTTCAGAATGATAGATGTAGTAATAAATCCAACCCGTGCACGATAATGAACTGTCCTTTTAAAATAATGCCAAGAAGTTATTCAAAACCTGGTACATATATGAAATGCTATGATATATTATCCCTTGAATTGCTCTTTCCCACCCCAAGTGTTGATATTCCAAGATCAGCTGATGTTGCAAGCGAATTTTTCTTCAACCTTGAAGGAGCGAAGCCTAGAGCATCAATTATTAATGGCATTAAGTTCAAGCCGCCTGCAGTCCCTATCCTTGAAAGTAAAGATGCAGCAAATGAATGCAAGTATCCGGTAAATTGTTCAGATCCTGGAAGAAAACATTGCCCGCACACAGTTCACTTAACAAAATTTAATACGGCTACAAGATTTGTGCTCTCAGTATTGAACCAGGGACTGGTAGGTGGTCAAAATATTACGCATCCAATCCACATGCATGGGCATACATATTTTATCGCTAAAATTCAATACCCTGAATACCATCAGAATGGAACGATTAAGGAGCGAAACAATGATCTAAAGGCGTCTGCATGTGCGCCAGCGAAATGGAAAAATGGCACACCCGGAGGGATTTCTGTGACCAGTACTACAGTTCGTAAAGATACTGTGATGGTACCCGCTGGTGGATATGTAGTTCTTCATTTCTTCCAAGATAATCCAGGGTACTGGTTCATGCACTGTCATGTTGATTGGCATCTCAATGACGGAATGGCGATAGCACTTGTTGTAAATCCCGAGAGGGCGAGCACTCCTCCTAATCTACTGAACAGGGATACAAAGGACTTTTGCTTTAGCGTGAAAACATTTCTTAGTAAGGAAACTCAGTATCCGAAGGATAAACGGAAAGTATATTGAAAGTAAATTCAGACAAATTGTGGAAATTGGAGAATCAAGAAATTGTTTAATAAAAGCTACAGTGCGGAGAATCGTGAAGAATTATTCAGATCAACTTGAATAGTTGAAGGAAGCCCGAAGGCACACGTATTATACCAAATATGCAGAATTCGAGGGATTATTGTGCAAAGTTGCCTTTTAGAGATTGATACGATATTATATTCCGTTAATAAATAGATAGATACATGTAGACAAATAAATAAATCTATTGTAGCCGAATCGCCTATTCATCATTTTGGCTTCTTTCTGTAGAGGTGATAGAGATTCTGCATGCACATAATTTGGTTTATCTGCAATTATGAAGCTAATTTAACTAAAGACATATAGTATAATATTTACAGTGCTGTTTTTAGGGTTTTGTAATCCAAGTGAGTATATATACACTTTAAGACCTATAACCAGGAACGACTACGAAAAATGCAGCACATGGTCCTTTGGTAGGAATTGGACCTACGGCCCCTTACAAAACCCTAAAAACAGCATTCGACTATTACCAAGTGAAGTGCAGAAACCAGATCATTGAAGTCCCTCTATAATATTTACACAATGTTGTTATATTGTTCACTTGGTAAATCCAAACCGCGCGGGTTCGAAACCCGACCACGCCAGGCACAATTTTCTGCTTGCGAGATTTGGTCTCATTCACATCAGAATATTTCGACCAGTCCTATAATAATTATATTTATTATATGGCAAGCATTTGTTTTGATGAATCGCGCAATTTGATTGGCTGCTGACGAGGCAGGATTTTCCCGTATTGCCCGCGGGAAATACGCAATTTTTATTGCCCTGCGACGAGAGCCGAGTTCCAAACGGCAAAAAGTGTCTAACAGTCTTTCGAACTATATTCAAAACGAAGAAAAGTAAACTCAAATTAAAGAAAAAAGAGCAACTGCTGTGGTTAAAGAACTTTCTCAATACGTTTTTGTTAGCGAAAGTCAAAATTACAAGGTAAATTTTACATTGTTTATAACTATTAAAGCAGTCAGGAATAGTTGTGTTTTGACTATGTGAAGAGCTGCAAATTTTACATGCAGGAGGAATTTGACACCATCCTAAATAAAAAATACAACTAGATTTATAACTTTCCCCTGAAAATTTCTGTTTTTGTAATTAGATAAAAAGAGACATAAATCTGAGATGAAGCGAACTAAAAACGTACTCAATACAGCAAGACCTCGGTTGGATATTTTCCCGTACTGCCCTCACTCTCGGTCAGTAGGCCTAAGTTATTAGTATTTTTCATCATTGATCATTATAACTAAAATATGCACTATGATGGAAATTTTTAGTACATGAAGCATTTTTATAGCAAAGTAATATATCTTTACCAAACAAATTGGCTTTTAATTTGCCCAAATGATTTGTATAAGTTGACTCAAAACTTTGAGTCAATATGAGTGCATTATTTTTTAGTCAAAGTTTATTTATTTATTTATTTATTTATTTGCTTTGCCAAACGATAGCAAGCGCTACAAGTACAACGATAGCTAGCGCTACAAGTGAAAAACAAAATTATTACTTTAATAGTTTTGTTTGTGGAAACACCACGTAAATTTATTACTGCAAAACTTTCGATATTATTAGCACTGATGAAGGTCCGGGCTTACGGATCGAAAGCTTTGCAGTAATAAATTTAGCCTACGTGGTGTTTCCACAAACAACAAAACTATTATATGTTTTATCGCCATGTAAACTTACAAAGAACTTAATATTATTACTTTATATATATGTAGGAATTTGTATAGTCAAGGATTTTTTGCAGCGTATTTCTATTGCAAAATATGCCTTTCCCCTTGCCCCTATATAGAAACCCTTGAGAGAACCCTCAGAAAAAACAACACCGTCATTCACTCTTGTCAAATTGCATCGTATACATTTCCATGTATATTGATTTTGTCGATCTTTGAAGTCATATATAGGTTAAACCAAAATTCACAGCAATTATGAATTATCCGGCCGTCGATCACATGATCGAGTTAATCCTCTGAATGTCATTTCCAGACGTTGCTACAACGTTACACTCCAACGTCGTCACAACGTCGTAAAGCAGACGTTGACTGACAAACGTTAATTGGCCGTCTCAATCCCAACGTCCAACAACAACGTTGCAACAACGTTTATCACACAAACTTTTATTACAAAGAAAGAAAACAATGTCGCCCAAACGTTGTGGTATAAAGTTAGGTCGGACCTAACATTACCACGACCTTCTACCAACGTTGTGATAACGTTGTCTGCTAGCTGGGATCATATATTCTGTTTCTAACGAGCAATGACAAATTTCGGATGACGTGGATTCAATAATTGTCATGCAACTTTTTCCCTCCTCTACTATTATAGGCATCATTCAAATCATATGGCTACAGTTAATTGGAGGACACGTTATTATGTGGAGATTGTTACTGTGCATGAACGATGAAAGATAAATATTTATTCTCTATCATATTTTAGCTGAAATACTTTTAAATCAAAGGTCTGCTTTTAACTGCCCTTACCAATTCCGAATGACTAATGTTTGCCGCACGATTATATTAGCTTTATCTTAGAGGATGGACCACAATATCTTGAGTGCGCACTTAAAGTCCTTAAATAGTCCACCGGTCTTCGCACATGACTGCAGGTGGCATTCATCACTGGTCCGGTCAGTCGTAATGCAAGTTACAGAAAGAAGATCTATCAACTGAGGTACAATATTTCTTATTTGTATTAACATATATATATAACTATACTGTAGTATATCATCCGATCCTGACCATTTGTCATTCACGACAACACAATGCAAGACAACCACATTCCAAAAGTCCTATTTACATAGATGTACCAGAATGTGGAATGTAATGCCAAAGAACTTGACAGGCAATAACACCAGCCTTAGCCAGTTAAAAAATGGACTTTTTATGTACTATAAAGTATCATTACAAACGGTCTACGACGTGGATGATCCAAGAACATGGAAATCAATATGTTTGTCCTGTAACAAGTCCCGTAATCTATCCTGTGAAGTTCGTGTTGTTATAGTTTAATGTATTTGTGATGTCGTATCTTATATGTAAGGGCCGCTGTAATTGGCGTAAGCTGTAGAGTGTTCTCTGCCATTGTCCATATATGTATTTTCTGTGTTTTAATGTTTATTGGCAAAGTTAAATTAATAAATAAGTATATATCTATGTCGGTCATTCGATTGTCGCAAGTCCGCCCTTTTCTTAAATATTTTTACCTATAGCCGGTGTCTTTAGTAGTTTAATTATTATAAACTAAAAAAGTGCAGTTGAGGCTTAGCTATACATGCATCTAGATTGTTGAGAAACGAATTGCCATGATCCTTCCTATATAACTGCAAGTTATACCGGCTTCGGAAACGTAACTGCCACTTCTTATATGATTCTTAATGGTGTAGCAAGTCGAACGTTTTCACAGTTTTGGAGGATTGTTTATAATTTATATCAGATTCGAAACGCCCATGCATGTATTTCGTAATAGAAAACCTAAAAATATCTAAAGATTTAATATTTATTCTTGTCCGGTTTATATTACATTATTTTCCGACTTTGGAGTGAGGGAAGGATTAAAATATCTCGGCAAGTACGTGTCCCCGCCTTTTAAAACGATAAACACCATTGAAATTATTACAAAATGCTCTTTTCAACGGGGAGTTTGAATGCCGTCAAAACAATACAGAAACCAAAACAATCGCACATTTAGACCCGTTTTATACGTCGAATTTTGGTCGCGTCGAATGCAATTAAGACAATAGATAATGAGATTATACACCTCATTAAGCTTCATTATATCTATTGTTTGAATTACATTCGACGCGATCGAAATTCGACGTATAAAACAGGCCATACTCATGCTTTGTCAAATATTCTGTATTTCATTTGGATAAAAACTTGAATATCTTCTAAACTTTTCAGAATTCGCCCAAGTTAGTAAAATACTCCTTAATTGTATTCAAGCGCTTTTATGTGGAAAGTTTCGTTTGAATACGACGAGTAGAAATATTTATTTTGAATTTTTCAAAATATCGGGTTTTTACTCTCACGCACAGGAGTATAATTTGACCTTTAGGATCGATTTTCGACGTTTCACGAGTGCTAGGGTGTAAACATCGCATTGTTTCGACAATTCAAGTTGTATTTCCGGTTGAAGCTCTCGCTAAAAATTTAGATATTCTGAAACACCTAAATAAAAGATGCAAATCTGTAGATGCAACCTTGAATATAACATTCTATATAGTGTTTGGATTGTGATTCGAACACGACTATTACGAAAAATATAGGTTGAAAGAAGCCGAAGTTATATGTGGCTAGTTTACACTGTTCGAGTACATTTTTGCGCGAGGCAGCACACTATTCTTGACGTGCTGTGGTTTCTCCAGAGTCCTCTCGACCCAGTCTTTCGCGCGAGTTATATATTGTCGAGATCTCGATTTTGTGTCTGTTTGTCAGGATTTCGAAATTTCGGGGAAATAATTAAGGCTTCAGGAAGTTTTTATAAACGAGGGAGCGGTCAAACTATATTTCGTGTCGCGCTCGCATGATTCTTCAGTTTAATACAAGCAATACGAATACGAGCTTTATAAAACTTACATACAGTTCGTTGGATTTGCACAATGGAAACGATCGGCAATATTTTGAATAAATCAAGTAAGGATGATCGATTTTATATCAGATGCTTTTATAATCATGGTGATATACCGTGAAGCCATTTATATTTACATATATTTACATATGCTGTTTAGCTCAAGGTTTAGCTATAGCTCAGTGGGTTTAGCTATAACCCGCTTCGAGTCGGTACCACTGATCTATAATATTACTGGAGGACGTGCTCCTATCTATCCGTCAGTCAAACGAGTGTCCGGAAAAACATGGCGGATTTTCAAGTTTGCTGACGCCAATTGGTTCCTCCAGCTCATGGCATTTACGACTGACCAACCGCGATCCTACGCTTGAAATAAAATCCTTCACCCCCCTGGTTTTTGCACAAATTTTGATCATAATTTTCGACTTTCGACTGAAAATCTTGATATTTTTGCAGTCGAGGAAAAAGTGTGTTAGTTTTAAGTTTTTAGTCTGCTTGTAGATGAAACAATCCACTCGAAAGGATTATTATATTTCTTGCTTTCAGGTAAGATTAACGAAAGTTTTATTTCTTTTACTTTTTTTAAGTTCTAGCTTGCCAAATCTTGGGCTGCTTGGCAAATTTAACTTGTCATTTCGATGGAAAAGCATAAATACATTATGTCAAAAACTACCGTTATTAACAGCAAATGAATAATATTCCTAGGTTCAACTGTTACAATATCACAGTACTTAGTATTCAAAGAACTTAATATCACAGTAGTTTTGCAATTTATCCTTTATTTCTTGTTCTTTATATTCAAACTCATTCTCATATTAATGTTGTCTCACATCTTGGGTTCAAAATCCTTTTCTCGACTTGTTTGTTTTATATTATTACTTTGAAATAATGAAATTCGTGATTGGTTTTAACTTTTAACTGCTAGTACTACCAGGTTTTTGTAGCAGTATTTATTTAGGATGCATGTGCACAACCTACCTTTTCAGCTGCCAGTTGCCACTCTGACACTTTCAAAAAATTCAGCATTTAGACCTTTAATCCTTTAATTAAGTGATTAATTAAGGGACACTGTGCCCTAATTTGTTATCCTACTCAGTCCAATACCAGATAATTTTACTTGTCAAGGAGAAGTGCTGGTGCACTCAATTGCTTAATAATTTTAAGTTTATAATAGTTTTGTTTGTGGAAATACCACGTAAATTTATTACTGCAGGAATAAATTCATTTGCAGTAATAAATTTACGTGGTGTTTCCACAAACAAAACTATCATATATTTTATCGCCATGCAATCATACAAAGAACTTAATTTTAAGTTTATATTAAACATCATTTTTATTATTTGTATCACCCCCCCTCCCCTCCCCCCCTTTAGATATTCTAGCACATCTTACTTGTGGATCCCTCCTCTACACTGTTACAGCTGTAACTTTTTTTGTAGCACAGGCTGTGGGAATCTGAATCTTTTCTATAATGACCCTATATAGTTCAAGTGTCCTCACAAATCCAATGGAATTTGCTTATCCTGAGGCTGATGCTCAAGCATGAACAAGAAAAATACAAATAAGGTGTTTGAATTAATGCAAGGGCTGTTGCAGAAATAACTTTGTTTGATCATTTCCATTACACAATAGCATGTTTAATATATACAAAGAGTGTCAAGTACCATATTCTTCACACTGAACATCTATTACATAGTTATATTATCACAGTGTAATGATGTATCTTAATGTAATATTACATTCTGATATTCTGTTATTCATTTTGCTGGTAAAATCATTCACAGGTACCACAAGACATATCACAATGGGTCAAAATGCTGAACAGCCAAAGCAAAATCATACTCATCTGGCTACAAAGTCATAATAATAACTTGTCTGGATAGTTTAGCTCACTGCTCACAAAATCAATTCTAATAATTGATCATGCTTTAATAAAGAGGTTGAACTATGAACTGTCTCACCATCAAATAATTCTGCAATGAGAAAAAAAGAGATGATATATATAATTAAAATGTTGTAAACTAACGTTTTCACTAGAGACAAAAGAAGTGAAGAAATGAAATGAGAAAGCAGCTTAAGCCACCACACTATTTAAAGGCTTGAATGTATCATGCAACTACCTGAAAAATAATACTATAGGTCTTTCACCTGAAATGTTGAAGTTCATTGATTTCTTAGTTTCTGGTAGTTGCATCATACAGGGGTGCACAGAGAGAGGACTGAAATGAACAAAACCCCAAATAAATCCACCTGGGACTGGAAGTGACATTATCTACCAATTAAATTGTTTCTGACTTGATGTCTGACTAGCATGTGTGACTTTCTCAGTTTTGGCCTGTATAATGAGATCCAGTGCAATCCTATAAAGCCTATAATCTAGATACTTTGCTTATACCTACACTTGTGACTGGTACCTGCAAGCATTCAAGAAGTACAATCCTATTACTAGTGGTTCAAGAATCCTAAATCCAACATGTCATTAGCCAGAAAGCTATAGGTAGAATTCATATTACCAGATAAGTTGCCCACATTATCCTAAGCTTCTGGCAACCCCAGGCTAGCTTCTACTGACACCCTAGATTATGCATACTATAATAACCACAGACTCTAGTATATATAAACACAAAGAATATAGATAGACTGAGAACATTGTTTCATGCCTTTACTGGCTTTACACCTGTATATACTTACACCTGTATATACACTTATTTGGTACATACATGTCAGATTTCAGTCATCAGTCTATATAGAAAACCCCTTTGATTTGAGCATATAGACAATCAAAGGAATTCCTTTGATTGTCTATGATTTGAAGGAAGAATTTTTGAATTAAACAAAGTTTCTGTATTTTCTGCGACAAAACTTTAAATATTTGGGTGCAAATAATACGTTACAAATAATACAATACAAAGAGTCTGTTATCTAATGGATTAAATCTATTATATTATCTATCATTTATTCCCACTATCTTTTAAATATTAAAAATAAAAGCATATCAATAGTATGCGAAATATTTACCTGTGAGCTCTGCCATCAAATATCACCTTTTCCTAAATTTCTCGGGGTTTCATATTGGTTTGTTGTCTTTCGCGGGTGAGAATAGCGTATACGACTTAAATCTTTGAACAAATGGTCAAAAGTCGAAAAAATAAAAATAAAAACGAGAATTTACTGCACAAATTTGGAAAAGCTAAATTTTTTTAAAAAACCATGGGGGTGTGAAAATTGCAGCAGGCTCAGAATTGAGCCTGTTCAGCGGTAATTTCATTAGTCGGAGGAACCAGTTGTCATGGAAATGGCGTCATATGGCGCGAAAATCCGCCATGTTTTTGCGGACACTTTTTTTGCCGAGCACTTCCTCCAGTAATATTATAGCTCAGTGGTCGGTACCCGCTTCTATTCGTCAATAGACAATAATGTCAATATTTTATATATATGCAAGGAGTCAAAATGTGCCTTTAGTTTTATATTTGTTTGTGTAGCGATAAGTTTTTTGTGTTCATTCTAGATGTATCATATGACATAATCAGGCTTAATAAGATTCCTATAGGCTATACTAGCAACACATGCGGCATATTGCTGCATGCACATATATTAATAACTTACCATGTGTCAAATTTGTCAATCGACTTTTGTACAAAGTACTATGGTCTGCTTATATCTCTGAAATATGTCCATCAATAGCGTAATATGAAATAATCCTACCAGCCTACATTCCTATATTCACCTGTGTGTCACTACATTTCTGGGTATACTTTATTTTTCGATAATTAATGCTAACAATTTCTTTGTTATTGTATAATTTTGTGTTCTGACTGAGTACAATCTTACTATCTTAGTGACTTAATTATTGCAATGAATGGTGTCATCTGAAGTTGACATATTGAGCAAAAATGTCAATGAATAGATTTCAGCAGATTGATTCAATTGTTCTGCGATAGGGGTAGCCTTGAAGGTGCCAATGTGCCATTAAAACGATAATTGCTGTTGGGACAAAAATTGACTTAGTATCTCTGTATTTGATATTATACAGTATTCAATGGCAAGCTAGCCATGGCAACTGGTCATCTTATGCCAATAAACCTGCATGATTTGAATAATACAAATCATTAAAAACTTTCATAACATCACCTGTTGCTATGGCTAGCTTTGTCACAGACAGTATTATAATTATACATATACATATACAAAAGTAAGAAATAATTATACGAATATATATGGTATTCATATAAAACTGCCCATGCCAAGAAAGCAGA